GGTTCGCTAATTTTATCACTTTGTCAAAGGATGTAATAAGATTTGTCTGGCATGATCTGTTTTTGGCTTCTAGTTATGGCTTTTTTGCCTCTAGATGTTTGCAGGTTTGTTCCTTGATTATCTTTTCCAGGATCTTCCCAGGAATTGATGTCAGGCTGATTGATCTGTAGTTTCATGGATCCCTCTCCCCCCCCTTTTTTTTGGGAAGATTGGGACCACATCAGCTCTTTTTCAGTCCTCTAGTAGTTCTCTGGTGCTCCAGAATCTTTGAAAGATATGGTTCAGTGGTTCACGTCTGCTAATTCTTTCAGAATCTTAGGATGTAATCTACCTGGTCCTGATGATTTGAACTTGTGTAGAGTAGATAGATGTTCTCTTACCATTTTCTTGCTTATTTTGACTTGCATTCCTAATCTGCATTTTACACAATTTTTTTATAGATTGGACTATTTTTTCTTTTTGTTTAAAGACACATGCAAAACATTGAGTTTAACAGTTCTGCTTTCTTCCTGCTGCTTGTTACCTTCTTGCCATTTTCTCCCATTAATGGACCAATCGTTTCCTTGACTTTTTTTTCTTTTACATGTTGAAAGAAGTGTTGATGTTTCTGACTTGTTGCAAGCCTTAGTTCATTTTGAGGTTTTAATTCATGCATTTATTGAACAAGACAATCATTCTGCAATATCATAGGAATCCAAGAATATGTTTCTAATATCATTGTTTTTATAGAGCAGACTGCCGCAGTGCCCAATGAAGTTCTCAGTTGGGTGACAACTAAGCAGAATGTCCAATTAGAGGATGAAGAGACAGAGAGTAGCCTACGAGAAGAACTGCAAAAAAGGACATCTCAGCTTGCAGCTAAGAAAAAAGAGGTGAAAGGTCATTCAAGCAGCTAATAAGTTTAAAGGATCTCATTAGGAGACTGTTATCTGTGAATATCTTACAATGGAACTATGACATTTTGTATTATCAGTTCGTATCTCATCAAGCTAGTATCTTGCATTTGATCTCTTACATGCATTATTTCAAATTTCTCTTACACTAAATATATGTCCAACTGCTTATCACCGATAGTAAACTCATATTCTCTTTCAGTTGACAATATATGCCGATTGTGTATGAAAAGGCTGATCATTGCTGTATTATAATAATGTACTCTTAATCCTATCATATGCAAAGACGTGGAACAGAGGGACTGATCCAGATCCCATATTGGATTTCTCACATCCAAACACTAATAGAGCACCTCAGTTTTAGTTTATGTTAACAAAACAGCTAACATTTTCCCTGATCACAAATCAAATGTGAAAATCAAGCCCATATTGTTTTGGTTATTTTGCTAATTAAAACTTGTACTTGATACTATCCCCTCAATTAGGAACAAGGGCAAGAAAAATAGCATGTATATCATAAAAATAACTAGTGTTCTGCCAAAAATTTATTCCACATCTTTTCATCCATTCTTACTTAGATGAACTGATAAAATAAATTGTTCTCCTAAAAGAAATTTTCAATCAATACCATATTTCACCCATGAGGCGTTCAGCACATAGTTACATGCAAAGTAGACAAGGATGTGTAAATATCTTGCATTTCATTGTACAATTGTTGTGAATTTTGTGGCTTTCAGTGATTCGGTTAAAACCCAAGCAATTTATTATGAGTCAACTCTTTTCAAAGTAGATCAGGAACCATTGGCATAGGATGACAAAAAATGCTTTTAAACAGTATTGAAAAGACCTTTGGCTGTTGTCACATTCGTCTCCTTAAGTGCTGTTCTCTAATTAAGCTAGTCTTCTAAATTTAAGCTAAAATTAAGAAAGGATTTAACATCCCCAATCCCTTTGTTCCTTTTGCTATTAAGGTTGGACTCTTAACATGAATCTGTGACACCATCTTGGTTAAGGTTTTCCATGCTAGTATCCATTTTAGTTTCAAATCGTCCCCAATGTTTCTTAATTTCACTGCTTCTCGCCTCTCTCAATTCCAAAATATATGAACAATTCTGTAATATATATAAAGTTTCCCAATGAAATGCAAGGCTCGCAATGGGGACTGTGACATTGAAACCTTAAAATAAAATGCCATAAGCTTAAGACTTTTCTAATACAATACATTGCAGCTAATTTTGACACAAAAAGAAGCTTCTTCCCCCAGAGTCAGCAGGAACCAGTTTTTTCACCTGACAGTATGCAATATGCCAAGAGTGCTGTACAGACACAAACTGATAGGGATGCATTCAGGTGCAAATGTAAGGCATAATTCCCAATGTGGCAGGATGGTACATTAGGACCATTTCTTGCCGATCACATCTATTCGACCCACTAGAGCGGGGATGAAAGGAATGTTGCGGGTCTCGTCCCCTAAGGAGATACATCTGGCTGAACTCAAAAGAAGGCCTTCTCCATGCTGGTTCCCTCTCTCTGGAACATCATTCCCGAGATTAGGCTGACTCCCACTCTAACACTCTTTTGGAAGGCACTGAAGACCTGGTTCTACCAGGGGAACCCAGAACAGGATGGAGCCTGCTAGTTTGAATGTGTGTTGTTACTGGGGTGGTGTGGTGGGGTGGGGGGCTATTATTTTATTATTTTCTTGTTATTTTTTATTCTTTTATATGGTGTTTTTATATCTATGTAAGCCACCATATGCAACTAGGTAGCAATATAAATTTTCTAAATATATAAAATAAAATAAATGGTATAAACATACTTTTTAAAATTTTTAATTGTAGTTTCTGAAAATAAAGATCTATATTCTGTGGAATGAAGAAGGAAAACTAGAACATAAATTATTAAACAGATGTTTATATTCATAATTTCACAGTAATTCGGAAAAGCTGTATCTAACTAGCAGCTTTTATTTGTTTCTTTAAAGTAAAATCAGCCAGAATTGTACATACTGCAGAATTTTAGCAGCTTGATCTTAGAAAACGCTGGGGTTTGCAAAAATAAGAATGAGGAATGGCAGATGGCTTCTTGGGTTCATGATACCTACCCTACCATAAACCTTTTTATTAAAACAATATAGAAAACAGTCATTTTAAGCATGTTTTGTTTTCTTGTCCAGTGCACTGATCTCTGTCATAAACTAGAGATCCTGAACAATGAGTATAGCAGTTGCCTTGCCAATTTACAACAGTGTCGTGATGAATTCAAGCACTCTCAAAACAAGCAAGCCCAGGTAAGAGGCTTTGAACTTCCATTTGTGCTATTTAATCTTGCAAGCTTAATCATCAAAGATACAGTACAGATTTCCCCAATCAACTCGGCTGTCAACGCTGCTAATATTGAGTATTCTTGCTTTGACAAAATATGCAGAACTGTCTGGCACTCTTAGAGTTAACTCAGATGACAATGGAGAGAGAGAGAGAGCAATTTCCGGAGGGCTTCAGAAGGAAGTGAACTTTTGCCCCCCCCCCAGGCTAGTTGGAGAACGTGACTCATGACAGCAAAAGAGGAAAAATGCTAGCAAAAATAACTGCTCTAGGGTGGAGACTTCAGATCTTGGCATCCATCCATGATGTGCCAACAATCTGTTATACTGTTAATAAAGGCTTTTAAGATAAACAATGCCTGGAAGTTCTTTGAAGTGTTTCATTAGTCGGAACCTTGACATCGGCATTCTACAGAAATTGGGATTCAAATGCCCAGAATTCCCATAAATCCATCAATTTACCTCAAAGCTAGCATATCTAGAAGTTGAAATCCTAACCAATCCAAAGAGTTCTTGGTTGAGGAAACTGTTATAGTCCACCTTTCTTGTTTTGGTACCCTGCTCATGGATTTGAACTTAAATGTTTCAAAAATAAATATGCATATATATGCAACAAAAATAAAGATATTGTAATGTTACATTACTATTGAAGAGACTGGATGCCAAGCAAGACTTCATAGAAAGCCTGAGATATACAAACTGGGTATTTTTAAATTAGACATGTACAAAAAATATTTTTTATTATTATAACCCGCCAGAGTCACTTAGGTGAGATGGGTAGAAATATGAATAAAATCCCTTTATACGCTTGTAATTTTCTTAAGACCCATGCACAAAAGATTCATCTTGTGTCTCTGTAGTGTTTACGAAATGTAGCTTTTAAGATAATCTTTTTACCAAAACACACTGAATAAAATTGAGTCATAATTCATCTATCTTCAGCATCAACCCTATAGTTTTATTTTTTCTTTCTTGTCATTGCGGGGGGGGGACTTTTACTTCCGATACATATATTTTAATCAAATAGAGGTACAAGCTTCTCTGAAATAAAATAACAATGTGAAAGCACAATAAAAATGTCACTACATGACCAGGTGTAATTGGGTTTTTTCTGTGTACTTTATAATCAATTTACTATCTCTAAATATTTTATCTTTTTTCAGAGAAAGCATGATCATTGGATTCCTATCATAATGGTAATAATAGTAACAGCTCTGGTATCTTATTTAAGCAACTTTACACCTTGAACATACCTTGTCTTATTTGCCTATAACTGACTGCACTATAGCAGTCTAAATTATCTCAAATGCTTAGTATTTCAATTTTAAAATGCTTGTAAAATTAACTGCATATTGTAATGAAGGAGTTTGTCTGCTTGGTTTTGCGTATTGCTTAGTTTTTGTACAGTTATTATTAAAACCAAAGCAACAAATATTGATTGTATGCCTATCCATATACTACTGATCTATATACATTGACACAATCACCATTCTTACAGTTTCAAAAAACTTAAGTTCCTCAATTCACTTAAGTATTACTTGACCATATTGGAATTGAAATCATTGCCTATTTTAGCTGGAGAATTCTTTTGCCTGGAATTTGGAATAGATTGTTCAATAATATATTCTGGAAAAATAGGCTAACCTGAAATAGATTCTGGGAAATTTAAGCATGAAGGGTATCCTGAATGCTGCTGAAAGTGCGCACATTTTAAAAAAACACTGACATAATTGCTTAAACTAAGCTGCCAAATTGCTTTTAAAGAAATCAGTAGAATACTGTGGAGAAGCAACGCTATCTATGAATTGTGATTCATATTTACAAGGCCACTGCTGATAGAACAACCACCTCATTTGCAATGCAGAGATTAGCAAATTCTTTCTGAGCTTTAAAAGCATCCTTGAGTTTTTCACACCATGTGCTGAGGTTCATTTTCATGTCTGGATACAAGAGTTCTGGGATACTGAAAGAGTAAAACCTAACTCTGAAATCACTGTTTACCATACAAAATATGGCTTGAACAGTAAACACTCTCAGTGGAATTAGTGTAAGACAATTATCAGAACTCTTCTGAGTAGGAAAATTATAGGATGCTGGATACCCTAGCAATACACCAAATAGAGTACAGAGATTCCATTCAGTCGAAAAAATTTCACTTGAAGATATTGTCTGAGATGTATCTTCTGTTAGTACTTTAATATGATTTAATATTTCTGACAGATGGCTTTTTATAAGATTCACATTTTCTGAGTTACAAAAGGTAGGACATGGTCTATAAGCAGAAACATCAATGAAAGTGACATTATTGCTAAGCAGGACTGATTCCAGACACAAACACATCAGTCCCAAGTTGATTATTAGAACATTTTCGGCTATATTAAGAACATGTAACCGACATGTAAGTTGAAGGGTAGTTTGAAGATGTTGAACATAGTCCAGAATCTGAGAAGTCCCAGCAGAATTGTAATCATACAGAAAAGCTGGTTTTAAACCAGCTGCTACTGCCAATACCTCCCCAGCTACATTCAAGGAGGCTGAAAATGATAATCTTTTCTTCTTTCCAGTTTTAAGATGATGTTGAGCTGCCTTAATGAGCAGTTGTGTCAATTGCTCCGCCATTTATAGCTCATTAATTAGAGAGATAACTCTATTAAAGAACTCCAGAAACACTTGATTGTCCACTGGCTTTAGACATCTGCTTCTTCAGCCAGGCCTTAGGAAATAGTAAAACATCAATTCATAGTGATGTAACAAAAATAATTAATAGTTTCATTTTTATAAATGAGTCACTGAAGTAAGCTGAAAGAAATAATAAACAGAAGATATGTGAGGGAAATGAGCAATGGAAAGTTTGACATACATGTAATTCATTCTGAAACAAGAATGTAATATAGAATTATACATGCTAAGTTCAGAAAAGAAAACAGAAAAGTTCTCAGAAAAGAGAATGAATGCTCAATTTTTACTGCAGTCGGGATAAGCTTCACATTGCATCTACAGGTGAAACCTCATTCAAATCAGAGTAATCAGATGGATTTTTTTTTCACAGTAACCAATTTAGCCTTGCAATAGCAAAAATCATAAACTAGACTGTTTACTGTAAATATAAAGCATATAAGAATTAATAAAGTTGCTTCTCTGTTCAAGAGGGGAAAATAGGTGCTGGAATGCTCTCTGGGCAACCAGTTGATTATTTAATCAGCTTTCTCCTCTATTTTTTATTTATGCCTTCAAGTAATTGTTGATTCCTGCTTGGACAAGCCTTTGTAGATTCCTTGGCAAGATATTGAAAGTGGTTTGCCATTGCTTGCTTCTTGGGGTTGAGAGACTATGACTGGCTTAAGATATCCAGCTATGCTCCTGCATAAGGCAGGATTAGTACTTACAGCCTCCTGACAGTACTGTACACTTACAGCTTCTACATCAAACTGGCTTTTCCTCTCAACTTACACTGAGACAAATATTAGTGTGTTGATCTTTGTTTAAACTGTTTAGGATATAATTCTCTCATATACAGTATTCCTGTATTGCTAAATAGTACCATGTAAACCTTATACATAACAGTTCATACTATGGGAAGTCAGAGCCCCCCAGAGAAGGAAATATTAAAAGGGCAGAAAAATATATTTTATATTTTTCCTCAAAAGGACTTTTAAAAGCAGAAATCAACCTAGCCCCCAAGTCTCTCTCTTTGCCCCAAGCAGAGCCAGCCCTATATAAATGCAAATGTAAAACCATCAGAAAGCTGGAGCCAGAAGACAAAGACCTAAAAGCATATCCTACCTGAGATGGGACATAATAGGACTAACCCATTACCATCAAGTATACCAGAGAGTCACACCTAGACTCAGGTCAGGATACGTGACCCAGGAAATAGCCTCAAAGTTCATGCCACAGGAACAGAAAATTATTCCAAACAAAAGGCTAGAAAGGGTATAAAAACCTACTGCCCATGTGCTCAGGTCCTTCTTTCTTTCCTCTGGTCTTTCTGCAAGAAGCATCTTTCTGCCTCTTCAATAAACTGTAACCATCTTCCCAAAGCAGTCGCCATGTTGCTTATTTATTCCTGGCTTGGATGAACCAGGATAAAGACTTTACTTCCAACAATATAGTTAATATTTATTAATTATATATCTCCATATACACCACCAATTTGGTTAAAATGAAGACTATGAAAAAGCCCATTTTTCCCCTTGATGGAAAGAGTAAATTGGGAGTAAAGGATCTGTGCCCTTTCAGATGCTACAGTTATAATTCTCAGCCTCTGTTATCATGTGCTATCTGAAAAGTTGTAGTTCAGAAACACCTAGAGAACCATTGAGTCTAACTTGTCCCACGATACATACCACACAATACAGAAATATTAGAGGCAGTGATGGAGATGCTGTTGTTGCAAAATGGGATAAGAAAATCCAAGCAAAACCAGTAACAAAATATGTTTAAATAACAAAACACCCACTTTGCTTTTGAGATGTACATCTCACAACTTGCAAAGGATCAGTTGTTCAATCACATTAATTCCAACTTTTGTATGACGAGGTGATAATTTCCCGCTGCATTCCTTAGCCATCTGGTCCCATTTTATGTTTCCATTGCTGGCCCTTTAATAAGAGCAGGCTCTGATCCATAAAGATCACGCAGCAGAACCCAGCCCCGAATCTTGAAATAAGTGCCACAAGCCTGAAGTTATCTTACATTTGTTCCACATCTCCCAATCGCTCACCCTGGAGGTAAAAGCCAGATTCAAAACGCTAGATCGCCATCTAAATAATGGTTACGTGTGTATATTTCTTAATGTTCGGTCTGCTTAAAGATCAATTTTGTTTTGAAGTTTGAAAGAAGCAAACTCCCAAATGTGACCTGTTCATTACGCCCTATTTTCTTGGCTTTATTGAGCAATACGTTTTACATTTGTGCCCTGACTTCAATGCAAGTAGGTTGTAGTTCAGAGCGCAGACATTTAGGGGACATCGCCAAGCGACATTACGAAGCCGACCTGCCTCCAGCTGCCCTCTCTCCCTCCTAAATAGAACCCACTAACCTCCGCGAGTCTCGGCCACGCCGAAACAAACTCGGTTCCGCTCACGAGCGAATTATATTTCCGCTTCCTATACGTTGAGCGAAGGCAACAAACGTAGAGCTAGAAACCGGAAGGAAAAGGCTGGCTCTCACCGCCAACAGCCGGGCCTTAAAGAGACAGGAGCGGATGTGGGAGCGAAGAGCGAGGCTGTCCGCTGAGATGTACTAAGTTCGGGAGGCGAGGGGAAGAAAGGAGAAGCGGATTTCATCCTCCACTAGAGCTAACACCGGTATCGCCAGTAGCAAGTGTTGCGGCAAGGGCCGATTTTGCCCTGACTGGAATAGCAGCCACGGGCTCTACAGAAACCGGGTGTAGCACAGGTATCCACAGCAAACTGATTGAATCAGAATCAGAACAGAGATGGAAGGGATCTTTTAGGTCTTCTAGTCCAGCCCCCTGCTCAAGCAGGAGATCCTATACAATTTCAAACAGGTGACTGTCCAATCTCTTCTTAAAAATCCTCAGTGATGAAGCACACACAAACGTTTGAAGGAAAGCTGTTCTGCTTCCTCACTGTTAGGAAGTTTCTCCTTAGTTCCAGATTGTTTCTCTCCTTTGATTAGTTTCCATCCATTGTTTCTTGTCCTGCCCTCTGGTGCTGTGGAAAATAAATTGACCTCCTCCTCTTTGTGGCAGCCTCTCAAATACTGGAATACTGCTGACATGCTCCCCCCCCCCCAGTCCTTCTTTTCTCTAGACTAGCCAAACCCAACTCCTGCAAGTGTTCATATATTTCGTCTTAGTTCCTCCTTTGTACTTTTGTATCAGGATTGTATCATCCTGATAACAATCAAGGTTGTATTAGGATGACACACACGCAGTGCTATCATGCTTCTAACCCCGCCCGTACACACTGTATTTGTGTCTGTTTCATGCCATTCTATCAGTCGTCTTTTTGCTTTTTGTCACTGGTTCCCCACCCTCTAGAGTTGATACTTGAGAAGTCTTGAAATGGTGATTTATCGCTTTGCTCATTAAAAAGATTTAATATGAGAAGGAATAACAGAATTGGAATGGACATTGGAGGTCTTCTAGTCCAACCCCCTGCTCAAGCAGGAGACCCTATACCATTTCAGACAAATGGTTGTCTGAATCATATTGTAACTTTGAAAAGGCAGGAAAAAAATGCATTTGAGCATTTCTGAAAATTTGATTTTACAATGATTATAGCTACTAGATCTGGGTTGGCAAAATCCAGATACTCACTAGCTATAAAATGTTTAAACTGTTTAACTCTTGTCCACCATGTTAGAAGTAAAGTCTTCATCCTGGTTCATCCAAGCCAAGAATAAATAAGCAAACATGGTGACTGCTTTGGGAAGAAGGTTACAGTTTATTGCAGAAAGATGGTTCTTCAGGAAAGTGCAGAGGAGAGAGAACAGAGAGCGAGATTGAGCACATGGGCAGTAGGTTTTATACCCCCCTAGCCTTTTGTTTGGAGGTTTCCTGTTCCTGTGGCATGAACCTTGAGGCTGTTTCTGAGTGTTTGTCTAGGCCTTGATATCTGTGGTTTAATTCTATTATCATATCCTGCTTCCCAGGTGATGGGGCTGATTCCTAGAGTTTGGGTGGGGTATGCAGATCTTCTGTCTTCTTGATTGCTCTGGCTCCAACTTTCTGATGGTTTTACATTTGCATTTGTATGGGCCTAGCTCTTGCTTGGGGCAGAGAGATAGATTTGGGGCCAGGTTTGGTTTTAAAAAGTCCTTTTGAGGAAAAATATATTTTTCTGCCCTTTTTAATATTTCCTTCTGGGGGGGGGGCTAACTTCCATCAACCATCTAATAGTTGTTTCTTGGCAGCTTGCAGCCCTAACATCTACACTATTTAGTAAACAGGAGGGGAGAAAGAGTGGTAAGCTCATGGTGGTAGTTCATTTGATCTCTATTTGATTTTTTTTAAGCCATTCACAAACTGGATTCATGAAAAAGTTGGAAGTAGGTATCCAAAAAAAGTGCACATTTTCATGTATGCTATCAGTAATGCTTGTGTAAAGTAGGCCATTTTACGAGGCCATGTAGTAAGACAACAGACAATATTCCAACTATTCCATTTATTGTAGAAAAAGCAGCTATGAAAACATTTTAATATACAAATGATTTTCAAAACAAGAAGTTCCAAAACAAATACTTAGTAGAAAGCGGAATGCCAATTATCTTTGGAATGCAAAGTAGGTTTGATTCAGGTATATGTAACTGCTACCTAGCAAAAATGTAGATGTATCTGATGCTAAGAAAACACAATGTGATGTGCTATATGAAAATACATTTTCCATCATAGCTTGTCTAGAATTAAACTACAATTACAATTTTAAAATTGCCATATTTTATTGTAATTAAACATTGCAATTAAAGATAAAAATACAAAAGAAAAAGAAAAAACAAAGTGCATAACAGAAAGAAAAGTAAAAATATAGTAAAGAAAAAAAATATATAAAGAAATGACTTCCCCTTTAAATCACAAGTATAAACAATTTTAGTAACATATCACCTCTTAAAATGCAAAACACAAACTTCTCACCGTATTTCATGCCTTATTTATAAACAGATTCTTAAAATCTTGTCATGAAGTCCTGGTTGGCATAAAGGTTACCAGATATAACTGTATCTATTCTAACCAATTTTACATTTGTTTATTTTACTTTTAACAATTATCTTCAATCCCTTCAAATGTCAACTTGATCTGTTTTGTTTTTTTGTTCCTTCTCACAAAATTTTTCAAAGCTTTAACAGATGTCTTTTGTAAATAAAGTATAGGAAAGTTATATAGGCCATTTTTTTGGCTTGTTATTTTTGTATCACTTTTAATTACTAAGACATCCTCTAGTTCAGCGGTTCTCAACCTTTTCATACGGCGACCCCCGGCCACACGGACGCAGCGCACATGCGCGGTGCCCCCACGCGCCCTGGGCGTGCGCACTGGTGCCCCATGCGCACCCATGCGTGCCAGGTGTGCACGCCACTGCCCCATGCACGCCCCGTGCACGTCGCCGCCGCCATGCGCAGCGCGCATGCGCGCCGCCGCCCCCATGCGCAGCGCGCATGCGCGCCGCCGCCCCCATGCGCAGCGCGCATGCGCGCCGCCGCCCCCTGAGGGGGAAAATGGCAGATCGCATTGTTTGGCGACCCCCGTAAAATGGTCGTTTGACCCCAAATGGGGTCGCGACCCATAGGTTGAGAACCGCTGCTCTAGTTTCATATGTCTAGGATCTTTTTCCATGTCATGATTGTAGCCTATCATTTTTAAAACCATCTTCAGATCAATCTCAATCTTGTCCAATAAAACTTGTTCCTCTACCGGATGCGTCACATGGAAGCCACCCCCACCGCATTGCCAGCAATGGCAAAACTGTCCTGATATGTTTCGCAACATCACGTGATGTCGTGAGTTTGACATGTCTGCTCTACCATAACATCTTTTAAACACACTCTATCTATAATGCCATATGCTCTTAAAATTAATTTCTGGGTCTATTGTTCAAAAATATTCTTCAATATGCCCAATGTTAAGTATTTTGCTCTATTCTGTGTTAGAAGCCAAACTTAACTTCTCATTTAATTGTAATATTTAATTCTTTGTGATTTCCTTCTAGTGTCAACCTTCAAAGATTCATCGTATTCTTTTAAATATTAATTTTTCCATGGGAAGAATTCTTATTATTCCAAAATTTTATTTCAAATCCATCTGGACCTTTAGATCATTTGTATCTTTCCAAAATGAGCATTCTAATTACCTTTTTGCTATTCAGTAAAAAAAAAAAATCCTTAAAACTATTTTTTGCTAAGAATTGAAGCAAAGTAACCTAGTGTTATAAAACATGTAAATCCAAAGGTTCCTTTAACTTTCCTGAAAAACAGTTAAAAAGCAATTTGCTAAAGTGATTTGAAAAGGAAGAATGCATACCCTGTGACCTTTTAAAGGTGCCAACTGTTATTTGAACAAAGATAACTTTCCCTCATCTCCCAGAGTCTAAACTGTCTTGCAGTCTGCTCATGAAGAACAGCTGTCAGGAGAAATTATAAGGTGATTTCCTCTTCTTATCCAGAGAGAAATTATAAAGTGCCAGTTTATTTCTTGGCTCTTCATTCTGCCATGGTCTTCAGTTCACTATTTCTTCTCCAGAAGTCCTAAAAGTGCCATATTTACAATTGACTGAGCTTTTGTTACAATATTCATTTTGCGTATTCACATTTTGGCAACATTCATTTTTTTAAAAAAAAACAAAAAATAAATTTCCTACACATGCTGTCTTGTATCTTCTAGCAATGTGACAGTTTAATTCAGTTAGAAACAACTGACTGCATTTGAACAATTTTTTCATTTTGTACAAGTAGGTTACATGTTAGGCTACAGCATTCAACATAGAAAAACATGTAAAGAGCTTCTATTTTACCAAACTTAATATTTATTATTGTCTTTGTTTTCAATTGGTTTTAAAGTCACTTTAATTTTAAAACATCCTTTTCAGCTTAAAATTCATGCACTTTCTCATTTATATAGAAATAAAACAACAAACAATAGCTAATAGAATCAAACTGCCTACTGCTAATTATCAGATCATTATTTTGAAAAATTTAATTTGTATTCATTACAAATTTCACATGTAGCAGCAGCAATAGGAGTAATTTTTTTTAAAAAGTAATTATGAATTAATAGAATGCATTTAAACTGTGTTTTAAAAATACTCTAAGAATAAAGGAGTGAAATAAGTATTCCTGTCAAACTTATTTTTTTTTTAAAAAAAGCACCATAGCATTACATGCAAGCAAGGAAAAGTTTAAACTTTATATTTATATAGTTACATGTATAAAAGTGAAAACATTTCTAGAGAAATATGCTTGTCTACGTGTACTTTAACTAGATCAACTTTTGCAAAATTATTTATGACAGATTATATTGTATATCAATATTTGTCATTAAAATGTCACATATGAAGAAATATTTAAAAGTGTTCTTATTTCAATTAATTTCAATCTAGAACTGAAGAATACAGACAACTGCTGGATCCAAGACTGGGTCATCACTGTGCTGTGAGGGGTGGGGTCATCTGCATATTTGGTGGTTGCACTGGCCAGCCTTCTTGGTGATTCTGCAGCAGACGGTAGAGTTGTTTTAGCTGGGCAACAATATTATCCTTGATATCCGGGATAGAGATCTGTAGACGCACACTGCCACTGTCAAAGGAGCGGGTAAAGTCACCAGAGAACATTTCATAGATCATCCGGGCTACAACTGGAATTACCTGTTTGAAAAGAAAGTTCTTGTTAATCTGACAAAAGATGATCAATTCCTGAAAGTTCTTCTGAGAACCTAGAATAAGCCAAATGCTCAAGCTGGTGAAGACTACTGAAAAATGTACTCTTGATTGATCACATTTATACTCCAGCACAATCTCGAAGGATTCTCGGTGCTTCACAAAGTTCACATTTAGAGTTTACATAACTTGCTTTTTGAGATCAAAGTCATGAAAACACTTCAGAACAGAGATAGAAAAAAAATGCAGCAACTATCAGCATTCTATGCAGCATCGAAATGGAAAAAGAAAGGTAGTATTCCATCCCAAAGGTGATTTTCAAAAAGCAACTAGACTTTGTTGATTTTTTTTTCCTTGAAAAAGTTTCACTTCTTATCCAAGAAGCTTCTTGGATGACAAGCGAAACATTTTCAAGGAACAAAAAAGCACCTTTGGAACAACCATGACCTAGATGACTGAAAATAGATATGTAGTATTCTATCAAAACATTATTAGCTAGTACAGATTATGTCACCAGTGAGTCCTTGCTCCACTGCAGCAATGAAGAGGAGCCATGGCAGTAACAAATGCATCAACAACTATGCACCAACTGCGCTATACCATTAGCTATTTGAAACAACTGTTTCCAAGGACATTAGGGTACATGATTAATTTCCATTAACTCATTAATGCAAATCCAAGTCTGCAATTCCTACAGTCCACACTATGTTTCATGTTTAAGCTACGCCTGCTCAGATCCAGCACCTACATAGCAATGCAAAGGTGCTTTGCATAGCAGCAAGAGACAGCAATAGAATAATATCAGATAGATACTAAAAAGGAATAAAAAGCCTCTGTCTTTTATGGAAATAAAGTTGTATTAACAATTTCTGTGGGATTGCTTGAGCTGTAGATCCCTATGGCCAGATTCACAAAAGAGTAAATCACAATCATTAGATTCATACAGTTCTCTACCTATGTTCTGTAATACAGAAAACATAGTATTTCGGTTTGTATAGCATAGACAAATCACATTATGGCTGGTTAGCACATTATGGTTAGCACAATGTGTCAAGACTCTCCTTAATCATCATTTATACACAGGTAAAACAATTATTCTTTTGGTAATTAGTTAATAGCAGAGGTATTCACTGACTATATAGGTCAGTGGTTCTCAACCTGTGGGTCGGGACCCCATTTGGGGTCGAATGACCATTTCACGGGGGTCGCCAGACAAGGCTGTCCGCCATTTTCCCCCCCTTTTCTTTGGCCATGCCCCTGGTACCCGGTGATGTATAAGTGGTTGGAGGTCACTACAACATGGGGAACTGTATTATGGGGTCGCAGCATTAGAAAGGTTGAGAACCACTGATATAGGTTGTAGTCACTTTAAATTACTTTTGGTATACAATACTTGTAGTCTTTAGTTTGAATTGTTGGGAAATTTCTTATAAGGTAGTTCCGCTCAAATCGAGTAAGAATTGGTGTCAAAAGATAAAAAGTTCTGACTATTTACTCTGCCTGTAATGATGGTGATAGATTAAAAAAAACATGTTAGAAACTTGATTCTTCAGGTACTCTGCTATTACTACTAAACAGGAAAGATATCCCTCCCAAAATCAGTAATTCCATTTCAGTCTCATTTTATTGGGTTTCATTAAGTCCATTACATTTCCTTAGTTAACTTTAGAACATCAATAGCCTCAGTCTATTAGATGAAAAGGAAATGTGGATCCTGACTTTCATTCTCAGATTTAATTGTATTAAACAAGGTTTGAGAAAAGGTGTCTTTACATTAACAGTCTTTCCTTCAGATTACGGGTCTCCAACCTTGGCAACTTTAGGACTTGTGGACTTCAACTCCCTGGCTGAGGAATTCTGGGAGTTGAAGTCCACAAGTCATAAAGTTGCCAAGGTTGGAGACCCCTGCTTTAGATCATCTTGCTCAATAGAAGAAAACCTGAAAATAAGAGATGAAATATGTGCACTGGTGGACCAGCAGCTCTGGCTCTTTACACGCCTTATCTGCTCATATTCAAAAGAACCCATGAAGCAGATTTTACACATTCTAGGTGAAGGCCTATATTATGATAGATGCAACTGCATTATTCTACTAGGGACTAGTAGCATACAGTATTTTTGCAAATTGTTTTCTTACCTGAACAACAATCAGCTTTCGCTCTTTTGATTTTCCATCTGGCCATTCCTCTCCAAAACAAAAGTAGATCTCATATGGTGGCTGTTTACTAATCTGTCCTTTCTGATGGGCAATTAACTCTGAATTTAGAGGAAGAATGTGAAAAGAGAGTATATAATAAATTACATTATTATGGTAAAAGAACAGATTGGTAATGTCCAGTAAGATATATATGCATTTTGAAATGACATATTTGAAGTAATTACTTGAAACAATTATCCTATCCTATCCTTCCCGTTGTATCAATTGATCCCAATCATTTGCTTTCAGTTAGACTTTAAAACCAGATCTGTGCAATAATGAACTATAATAGAATAGGTAGCTGCTCATACTATTTCACTCATAACTTTCAATAATGTGAAGAGGTACAGAATGAATGATACCAGAGACCAGTTTGGGCCAAAAAGAAGGAAATAGGCAGAAACCTTTGCTTTAATGGAGTACATTAAATTGGATCGATATCCATTCACATTTTCTGGTTTATAGAAAACATAAGCTACGCATTGTAGACCCAGCAAGGACTAACTACAAAAACAGCTGTATCCACTCTATAATGCTAACAGGGATACAGCCCTAGCTAGGCTAGTTTATGGTATTAATCCATAGATTACAAGGTTATCTATTGATAGTGATTCAAAGGCATTAGAGCTACTCACCACTTAGAAATGTTTCCAAACAAAAGACCTTAACTCTCTTCTGTCTTTCAATTAAGTTTGGTGTGGTAGAGGAAGGTGCACATGGCCCAGACCAATATACTTTGCACTGGCAAAGCCTGATAGCATAGATAGCATGACCACTGACTTCTAGTATTAACCCTCTGTCCATTACATCAAGCAGTCGACTGGTGAACAGCTTTTGCTTTTCATTTGTGATGGGTTCGGGCCCTGGAAACTTGACTTGCTCCAAATTAATAGGTCCAAAGAGTTCTTCTTGATCTGGCATAGGACCTAATTCTCCATAGAAAAGTCTGCAGCCTTGGGGGTTGCTTACAGTCATTGTCTGCCCAAACTCCTTGCCTCGATATTCAAATTTGATTTCGAGATCTGTCACTTAAGAAGAATACATTATTAATGTATCAGGCAGTACAGCAGGAACCAAAATGACAGTGTACCATATCTAACTGAATAAAATCAACACAATATAGGAGACACCACTGGTATATGCAAAAAAAAGATATAATTTGCCATTATTACAAAAAAAAAAAAAACCCCAAAATCCTAACATTATGGAGTCAGATTGATTGTAAAATAATGGCAAAGTTACTATTAAAAGACTTGCCACTATATAAATCCAGTGGTTACCCATAGCAACAATCTAATCACTTGTTATGCATAATGGATACCCAATTAATAACATTTCTGAAAGCAAGCAGCATGCAGGAGATAGCTACTGTAGGAGCACTGGGCAATAATGGCAATCATGCCACTTCCCAAGGCTTTTGTACCTTGGGGAACAGTGTGAGGTGGCATTTTTGAGTGACAGCAACAGTGCTTTGGCTGATATTTAAACGTAGGGCAGTAGCAGATGGTTGAGACTCTAAAAGACCCAAGCCTCTAGGCCCCATGCTTCTACTGAGAAATGCCACACCACAGGGCCAGGCTATGACATTGTGCCTCAGCTTGTGCATGCCCTATACTGGGCCTCACAAGATGTTCCCCACCTGAGTTGTCTTCAAGCTCAGTTTAACGATTGCAGCTGCAAGTGCCGAGGTGATGGTCATGCACCAAAGTGGTCACATGGGGATCTCGCTTAATAACTGCAAGAACTTATAACCAAATTAAAGTTTCAACTGTGATCGAGGACCCCATGCAGGTTTCTTTTACAAGCTGATGCCAATTTTAAATCAGAATTATTTCCTGCCCAGACCAATTTGAACAATAACTGCAGAAGAATGTTTGCATTTGTTCAACAAATCTTTCAGAAATGCAGCTTATTTATTAGAGGTGAACTCAACACTTTCCAAACAAAAGAATGCATGATTTGTCCTTTATTTATTCTAGTGGCTCCTGGACCAAAAAGACTTACTAGGAAGAGAACTAATCCAAAGTTCAGGAGAGCTGTACATATCATGCTGTAAAGCTGGCAGTGCAGGAGGCATTGGCATCTCCACATCTTCAGGCTCATTCTTTGGCCACACAGCTTCAGGGCTACAGGTCTCTGCACTAGCAGGAGCCATTGGGGAATCTAAGTAAAATAAATGAAATGTATTTATAATATTTATAAAGAGATTCAATCATATCAGACAAGCAGGTTTCATTAGACTTCCTTATGCAATTAACCTTGTACTATTGGAATTTTACCTCCCCTTTCATCAAACCTGATAATCTAAAATAAAACTTGTATTCTTTTCTTCTAGTAAGTATTAATAAGAGATTGTATTAGTGCAATATAACACTTTTGGCCTATAATTCCTAGAACTGTCAGCCAAGTGAAGGATAGTAGTTCTAAAGCCAAACATAACCATATCTTCCTAATCAGCATAGCTGTAGAGCTGCTTTGTCGGTGCCTCAACCCTTTCCCCATTGCAATTTAACTTCAACCTGAAGCTATTAGATACGGTTATCCATCAGCATGGAGTGGGGATTCACCAATATGCCAATAATACCAAATTCTACCTCTCTGAGCCAATCAAGTGATGGCCTCAAATGTTCCCAGCACCTGGAAATTGTGAGGGTTTGGATGGCAGAGGACAGCCTTCAACTCAACCCTGGTAAGATAGAATCACTGTAGGTTTTAAGGTCTCCTGGTTCTTGGGTTTTTCCAGCTTTAACTCAACATGGGGGTAGATTTCCTCATTCAGAGTTGATATGCTGAGTTGCAGAGCAGCGGCAACTGTGGCCAAAAGGATTTTGCACAGGTTTATCTTATGCATCAATTGTACCAATTCCTGAATTGGGAGGCCTTAGTCATGGTGACTCATACCTAGAGCCTCTGTCACGCATGTCAGGGAATGTATGTGTCTGTCATTCAGAGATGGTTGCATAGCTGCTGCATTTATACAACTGCAAATGTTAACATTCTGGCTAGGCAAAGCACAGAACAGGAATTTGTATCAACCAATCAGCATGCAGGATGTACACCTCCACACAATGCACAGTTGGGATTTGGGAGGTATGCGCATCAGCCTGTCTGCAGCCATCTGCAACCTATGCTTACCCATCAACCCTTTTGCAGCATAGGTATGCAGTGACATCTACCACAGTTGTGGGGTACTCTAAATCAAGCTTTAGTCACCTCCTGTTTGGATTACTGTAACACACTCTACATGGAGCTACCCTTGAAGAGCATTTGGAAGCTACAGCTGGTCAGAATGTAGCCATGCAGGCAGGTTTTGGTGTTTCTCATTATACCCATGTAACACCACTGCCCCACTGGCTGCATTGGCTCCCAGTAGGCTTCCAAGTGCAATTTAAGGTGCTGGTCATCATCTATAAAGCCTTCTACAGCATAAGTCACGGTTGCTTCTAGACCAAAAGAGAACAAAAGGGAAAAGAAAGCTTTAGATGCAAAGCATACAAAAAAAAAATGTGTCACTTGTACATTGAGAAAACTTAAAAAATAGCTCCATCAAAATGTAATTTAAGTCTGGAAAATTAATGCAGAAATATTTGTTGAACCAATGATGCATTAAAACCTGAAAAACCTGAATTTAGCTCCAGGGAATTCCAAGACTTTTAAAGCTGTTACATATTGCCTTTGCCAGGAAGGTGTGTCTGTCCCTGCTATCCTGTGGGAATTTACCTTCTTCCAAAAGAGTATGGTACACAATGTGTATGTGGGAGGGACAGTATGCCTCCATGGAAACAACCTTCTGTGGTCTAGTCTTCTTATACTGTTTCAAATAGCAGTGGTGGATGCCATATGGCATGCATAAACTTATCTAGGGTTATAAAATATCTGGACAACCAGCAAATAACAACAAGGTTTGATTTTTCTGTATCTGTTGCCATCTAGCCGATGTTCAGATTCCTGTAGAGCCGATACCATTGCCATAACTTATTCCACCCTTTCATTAATTCCAAAGCTTTAGTTTCATAATCTTCAGGAACCCAATTAAAATAAATTCTCAGCAGCAAGGGAGTGCCTTTTGTTTTAAAATCCAACTTGCCTTACATCAGACAGACATGAAGCAAAGAAAGCAAGATTATGCCACACGCATATAGAAAGACTTCAAGTTAATAATTAAGATTTTGAATTCCACTTAATGTCAGACTGACTGCAGAAATTCAAAAATATCTCAGTAAGTACATACACTTACCTGCATTTATTATTAAGTATCTAAGAGATACACAAAAAGCAGGATGAAAATATTTACCAGGGAGAGCAGCATGTACCATTTGTGCTAAATATAAGTTATATCTCTGTAGCATATTGCATGTTAATTTAGTTTCATCTAGAGATAAACTTTTGAGGAAGCATTTGTCAAAATGTTGTTTAGTGCAACATTAACAAAAAAAATTGTTTAAAACATACATTTAAGTTCAGTTTCATTAACCGTATGTCAGAATAATCTACTAACCATTGATATTAAGAAATGGAAAACTGTCCTGTATTGCTACGTTTTGAGACTCATTTAATTCATCTTCATCTTCATCATCTACATCATTATCCTTTTCATCCCATGGAACTGAACCAGTGGAACCTGGAAAAAAATGTAGGAATTGAAAAATTAGAAAGTAATTAACACTCTAATTTTTAACAAAACAAAGGAAAAAATGGAATTTCTCTTTCGGAGATCTATGAAAGTGTTACAGAGTAATTCAATCTTTGGAATTCTTATGCTAAATATTTGTTGGTTTCCAAACATGGGAGAGTCTGTGAAATCCAAAATTCATTTTTGTTTCTCAGTTCAGATCTGGTGGCATAAAGCAGTTTTCCTAGAGTTTGAGGGTTTCAGGAGAATACTATAATGTCTCTCCTTGAACTATGTAGCTAGAGTGTTAGAAAGTACATGGCAGATAAGAAAGTTTGCTTTCTCAAATATTTATTGGCCCTTCAGATTCAACAACTAACCCAAGATATTATATTTCTTCCAGCCATGTGCTGATAAAGCCCAGTTTAGCAAACAGGAAATGTGCAACCAAAGTTCCTAACAAATGCTATCCAATGTAGCACTCTTTTTAGAATAGGGGCATTTGTAATGGTGCCCTTATTTCAGTTCAAAATGAAGGGAAAGGAAATCCACCGTCAACAATGACAGATGCATAAAAAAACTAGATCTCCCAAAACCCAAAATTCATGTTCTTACTCTGGATCCTTGCCAGGATGTACCTGAACTTTAAAGTTTTTGATCAATTTTGGCTTTCAAAAGGAAACTCAGCTATTTAGATTGTACCATATATGTAGTAAATTCCTAAGTATGTAGAATGGAATCTGAAGTACAGTCAATTAAATAACACAAAGGATAAATTGAGATGCTTGTTCAATATAGTTACTGTATTCACGTAAACCTTAGTAATTTAGAAGGCCTCACTCCCAATAAGACAATTAGTTTAGGATTAGCTCCATGCTTCTTTAAACACATGTCTCACCAGGATTAATGATTGGCGTCAGGGATGGTGGGATGTCACATACTTCATAAATTTTAATTGGATTCATTGGTACTTCTTTGGTGCCATCGTATATGAGCTTGAATTCACGGCTTTTGTTGAGAGCACAGCGGAGTTGGGCTTTCCATTTTGCGGGATCAGGATCATCAACCCCTTCTTGATATTTTCCTGTTTCCACAGCCCACGCCTGAGAGCGAAGTACATCATGTCAGTTAAGTGTTGTCATTATGCCAGCTTCTGTTGAATTGTGCTGCCAAACAAACTCTCATCTATAAGATACACCTAGGCAATAAATACTTTCTGCAACAGGTAATTGTTTCCTTTCACCTTTCTAGGAGACACAAATGTCTTAAAACCATTAGCTGTCTTCTTTCTCAAGCTATTTCTAACAAGATACCTGACTATGTTAAAAGAAATCAATTCAGTGTTTACAATTTCTTTTTTTTAAATGTGGAATCGAATTCCAAGTTTAACTAGATAAAATTAATTCACTATCTTCTAAAATAAAAGAAAAGAGAAAACCTACACCAAACAAAAAAACTCATTAACAAATACTTTTATTCCCTGATTATTTCTCTTTATAAAATTGTCAGAAATGGTTGCATGAAAAATCTTCCGCATTTATACATGCATTGCTAAAATTTATAGTTAGTCCTCTACTTGAAACAGTTCATTTAGTGACCGTTCAAAGTTACAATGTCACTGAAAAAGTGATTTTTTTTACTGTTTTTCACACTTATGACCATTGCAGTATCGTGATTTACATCGTCATGTGATTTACATTTGGATGCTTGACAGCTGGTTCATATTTATGAAGGTTGCAGTATCCTGGGGTCATGTGATCCCCTTTTGCAACCCTCTGACAAGCAAAGTCAATGGGGAAGCCAGATTCACTTAACAACCATGTTACTAACTTAACAACTGCAATGGTTCAGTTAATAGATGTGGCAAGAAAAGTAAAAAAATGGGGCAAAATTCACAACAAATTCTCACTTAGCAACATAAATTTTGGGCTCAATTGTGTTCATAAGTCGAGGACTACCTGTACTTCATGAGAACAAATGTACATTTTTCAAAAAATCCAGGTGAATATAATCCTCAGCAAAATGTTGAGAAGAAAATCCAATAGAGTTGAATGAGGCTAACTCCCCAAAAAGTTAGATGCTTAAGATAAGGAACTTTAGCGACAAGCGACAAGAATGCAAACATAAAGAGGTGAAGAGCTGAAAAGTAGATAATTAAAACCTTGAATCTGACAATTCTCAGAAGGAAAACCACAATATACCAGGGAAATTAGTTCTGCTATAGCACAAAATACTCAAGGTAGACAAAGATAAGACTGATTGGAAGAGAGTTTTATCTACCAATTACCTGAAACCCTATTTGAATATATTGTGTTTTGTATATTACTTTGCCTCTCATTTTTCCCTGTATGTTAATGTCTTTGTATTGCATGCATGCTTTTTCACCTAGGACTTCAGATCAGAATGTGGTCCTGCTTATGAAAACAAAGCAGCATACATCTCCATCAGGTTGCATCTCTGAACATACAAAGCATTTTATTGCTACAGAACAACAAACGTAAGATTATTTGTATGCTACTTTTGCTATTATTAATTTCATCCTCCATCCATTTGAGAGAGAGAAGGGAGGGAGGGAGGGAGGGAGGGAGAGAGAGAGAGAGAGAGAGAGAGAGAGAGAGACCAATCCCATTCTATTATGTAGCATACTAATAGAACTGTGTTTTTCAGTTACCTTAAAAATGGTATTTTCTTCTTCATGCTGAGGACTATGTCGAGTTGCATGCTTCCAAGGAATTTGAAATCGCTTTGCATCCCTGTTAAGCCAAAGAAGACCTGGATACATTCCACTGTCTACTTGAGCTACTAGCCAGGGTTTCAGTCGAACTCTGCGTGGATGTGACGCCATTATCTAGAAGGATAAAATACACACAGCAAACAATGTATGAAGAGTTTATAGGCTCATTTTCTAAAGAGAAAGCAATAGAAACCAATTGTGATTGTAATCACATTGCTCTGATTTTCTTATAACCAACTTTTGTATCAACTGATTTGATTTCTTTCTAGGTCAAAAGACAGAGAGGTCAACTTAACTTTTTCAGTATACTGAGACGATCAACTGTCCCATAGTCAAAACAACTGTTCAAATGAATTAAGTTATGCATAGCATATCTTTACAATGAAATACAGGGGCATGTATAGAAAATGAAGGGGGAAACATTTCCCACATTTTGGAATATCATCTTTCAGAATGTAGATTTGCTCCTATCGTTTTGATCTTTAGAAAGAACCTGAAGACTTTGCTCTGTCATTGTTTCTGGGGACCAGCAGTAGTGATAAACCTTGGTAATGGTTATATTAAGTGGAATGTGGTTGGCAAAGACAATATTAAAAGGTTATATGAAATGGAATCTTAAAAACTATAAGAATTGTCAAAAAAAAATGTAAAGCTCAGAATGAACTGAGGCTTTTAAAAGATAACAAAAATAACAAAAAAAGCTCTTTGGATATTTTTGAAATGAAAGGAAAATTAAAGAGAATGTAACTCCATTGTGAGGAAAGAAATGGTGGGCAGAAGAGCACAAACAGCTCAGTTCTTCGTAATTCCTCTCCAGACAAGGAGATGATTTGAGATCACCCATAAATGCCCCAGACAGTTGTTTCCTGTGAGGACATTACATGACAACAATCGCCAGCAAGTTTAGAATTCTGGGAAATTAGGGAATAGCCATCTTGCTCAAATTGAGGTTGATGCATTTGAAAGGACACTGAGTTCACTACTTCCTTTTCTAATCACTTTTGAAAATTACTTGCAAACTGCTTTTCAGCTATTACAAACCCTAGAATTGACAAGTTTTATAACACTGGATGTCTTTCCAATGTTTGTGTGTGGGGGGAATTAAATACAAGTGTGTGGTTTTTGGAATAAGCAGTAAAAGAATAATTGAAACTTTTTTTGAAACTTACGAACAGACAAGGGTCTGTTAAAATAAGATTTTAAAAACTGAACACTAGAGAGAACTATAAGGAACTAAGGATTACAATTAAAGGGGAGGAACACTTGAATTCAATTTACAACTATAGAATGAAGCTGAATACTTCAACATTCAACATATTGAAGGATTTTTTTTTTTTTAATAATGGACTCAGAAGTTATTTTTAAGGGTGTCTGCCTCTATGGATACACTGAGTTTAAAATATGTTATGGAAGCAGAACAAGTTTTACCTGACAGGATTGTGATTGATTTGGAAGAGGACTTAAAAATGACAGCTTATAACAACGACATGGAAAAAGATACTACACTGGATGTACCAATGAAATCAGATGATGTCTTAATAATTAAAAGAGATATACAAACAACAAACCAAGAGTGACCTGGATAACTTTTCTATATTGGATTTACAGAAGAGATTTGTTAAAGCTTTGAAGAACTTTGTAACAAGGGACAAAGATAAAATGAAAAGAAATCAAGATCTAGTTTTCAAAACTAAGCTTGAAGGAACTAACAACCAAGACTGTTAAAAGTAAAAGGAAGAAATATAGTTTTGGTTTATTTGATCAAGATTAAAATAGACAAGTTATCTCTGGTAACATTTAATGGACTTTTGCTGACATCAAGATTGAAATGACGGGGCTTTAAGGATTTGTTTAATGATAAGAAATGACCTTTGGGAAGAACAGAACATTTCTTATATTTTAAGAGGTGATAAGTTACTAAAATTGTTTATACATGTGATAAAGGGTGAAGGGGGAAGTTGTTTATATATTTCTTTTCTTTATTATATTCCTATTTTTCTATTTTTTCTTTACCTTCTATTTTTATTCTTTTAGTTTTTATTAGTTTCAGTGTAGCAGATGATCAAGTGAACCCAAGGGAGAGATCAAACATGTTATCAGTCTCAAATCCCTTTGTACCCACAAGAGTTCTTCATCCAGCCCTCCTTGAATTCTATTGACTCTTATCTACTACCAATTTGCCTTGACTGGTAATAGTTCAGCTTTTTGTAGAGAGCTTGAGCTTGCAATAAAACTTTATATTCATTTGAACTGCCTGAATTTCCTGATTTCCCCATACTTGACATTGATTTCTGTATTTGCAATTTTTAAGAAAATTACTATAAAAAGGAGGAAACAGTGAAACAGCAATGAGTGACTGGTGAGAAGACAGAACCTTTTAAATCATATTTTGCATTTACTTTCTCTCAGAAAGAAACCCTAAATAACCATGGTTATTCTGCTGGGAAAAGAAGGGAACACTATTAAGAGAGAATTCATCTAATTTAAATGAATTCACATCTCCAGATCCAGTTTCACTAAATCCAAAGTTACTAAAAAAACTAGAATCATTATCAATAATCTTTGAGAACTCCTGGAGGATTAGCTTAGTCTCAGAGAGATGGAGGAGAGAAAATGTTATCCTTGTCTTCAAAAAGAGAAAGGAAAAAGAACCAGGAAACCATAGACCTGTCAGCTTAACATATATATTAGGCAAAGCCTCTAACCAGAATTATATATGTGAACATTTAGGCAAAAGGAACCAGTGTAGGTTTGTTGCAAGTAAATTGTGCTAAACTAACTTATTTCCTTCTTTGAAAGAATAACTACTAGATCAAAGTGAGTAAGAAAAATTAAGTAGATGAAAGAAAATATCATAGACATACCTGAACCTCAGCAAAACATTCAACAAAATATCTCATAATATTCTTTTTCATAAAAAGGTAAAATGATGATACATGATAATATAGTTAGATACACAGTTGACTGTACTCCTTAATGGCTTGAATTCCATAGCTTTGTGGTCTAGGTTATATATTGTATAACATATTTATCAAATATTACATAAGGGCATAGAGAAAAAACTTAAAACTATGAGGGTTGTCTAATATTTTAGATAAAAAAGTATTTTTAAAAAGATCAGAGTTGACAAACTAGACACACTAGAGCAATGTTGACCCAAATAAAATGAAATTTAACAGAGAAAAATACAATTTGGAAAATATTATGAGATGAATGGAAGCAATAGAGGAAAGCATGGTTTGTACTACATGTGAAATGGATCTGTGTGCAATCAAACATTAACAGTACGATGCAGTATCTAAAAAGTCAAACAATCTCGCAATACATTAACAGAAGCATAGAGTCCATATCATGGACATAATACAATTCTACTCTGTCCTGGTCAGACCATATTTAAAGTATTTGGTCCAGTTTTAGCCACCACAGTTCAGAAAGGACAATGATAATTTAAATCAAATTCAGAAGAGGGCTACCAAGATGGTGAAGGATCTGGAAACAAGGCTATATGAGGAATAATATGTATAAGATCCAAATATGTTTAGTATTTAAAAATATAGCTAAAAGATGATATGATAACACCTTTAAATAGCTGATCCTACAGAGGTAGCATTGGACTTGAGACAGCAGGATCAGAATCAACAGATTACAATTACAAGAACGTTCAGGCTAGGAATGCGGAGGATTTCCTCACTGAACAAGCCATCAGCTAGTCGGGCAGGCACATGTTGGGATGAGATCTCCTTCAAACAGAAGCTAATAGTCATAGATGCCCTAGTGCAATTCTCAACCTGTGCAATTTTAAAATGCGTAGACTTCAACTTCTAAAGTTCCAGCATCTTTAAGTTGCTAACATTGCTATTGTAATGTATTGAGTAGGGAATTGGACTAGGTGACTTTTATGAGTATTTCCAATACAATGACTCCAAGATCAAATCTAAACATCGGGATACATATTAAAGTCTCCCCCCCTTCCCCAAATATATCAGTGTACCAAGTTTGTTATCCATTCTGTGCGATTTACTTTAATAACAGAATAGAAATAAAATAGAAATAGAATACAATAACATAGAAATGTGTTTGTTGTACAACCTCATTGCTAGGTACTGTATCAGATCAGTTGGCTAGGGACACTAAGAGTTGTAATTTAAGGCACATCTACAGGATGAAGTAGTCTGTACAATACTAAGGAGAATGAGATTAAAAAAATAAATAAACAATTTAGAGAGAGTGGCCAAAGGTTTGCTGATACACATTTAACTGCTTTTTTGTGAGTTCCCAAATCCTATGCAGGCAACAAATTCAAAACCTCAAATATTGCAGATAATTGGACTGCAAAAAACAACTACAGAAGAAATTACAAAACAGTACATCCAATGACAAGCACATACTGTATTCTCTTTTCCTTCTTGAAGAACATAACCAGACATGGCCATATTAAGGATACCACACTTATCTTTGCTGAAACAGATTTTGTACTTTTTTCATGGATCATTTCATCAGACTGTCAGAGCTAGCAATTATGGTAACTATATAATATTTGATTTCAAAGGTGGTATATTTAGAATATCAACTGTTGGAAAACGTAAGCAGAGAGTACTAATGTACTCCATATCGACTTGTAGGTTTTCGAAGGCATTTGTATGGCCATCATGAAAATTAAATGTTATATTGAAAATAAGTCTGGTTTTTGTTATTATAGATCATCTCATAACTTCTTTACATTGGCATATACACCACAATGTGAAAGCAGTAAGAACAAGGCATGTTAGAGTGCTAAACAATGCAAAGGTATAAATAAAGAGTATAATAAAGAGTATAAATAAAAAATACAGAAGGCCAAAAGAAAAATGCATCCAATCAGAATGGTTGTGGCTCATATCTAATAATCTGTATACAGTATGCAAATTCAGGCTTATATATTTATGCACACAATTTCTTTCTGTAAAGCTATTCATTCCCAATCCCAATTTAACCCAAATCTGTGGGTATCACTGCTGCAAATATCATTTTTTTCATAACAATTTTTTAAGTCTAATATAACAAAAGATCAGAGTCACCAACCTCCTGTTCTATGAAGAATCCAAATTAAGATATTGCTATAAACAAGTAATTGG